TACAATGAAAGGACGACACTAATGTTTCCTCTCTTCTACAATGAAAAGACGACACTATTGTTTCCTCTCTTCTAACAATGAAAGAAAGACACCAATGTTTCCTCTATAACGAAGAAAGACATTATTCCTTCTACTCTTCTACAATGAAAGGACGACACTATTGTTTCCTCTCTTCTACAATGAAAAGACGACACTATTGTTTCCTCTCTTCTACAATGAAAGAAAGACACCAATGTTTCCTCTATAACGAAGAAAGACATTATTCCTTCTACTCTTCTACAATGAAAGGACGACACTAATGTTTCTTCTCTTCTACAATGAAAAGACGACACTATTGTTTCCTCTCTTCTACAATGAAAGAAAGACACCAATGTTTCCTCTATAACGAAGAAAGACATTATTCCTTCTACTCTTCTACAATGAAAGGACGACACTATTGTTTCCTCTCTTCTACAATGAAAGAAAGACACCAATGTTTCCTCTATAATGAAGAAAGACATTATTCCTTCTACTCTTCTACAATGAAAGGACGACACTATTGTTATTTCTCTTCTGTAATAACTTTTCGTTTGAAGTTAAGACAAAAAAAAAGGGAAATATATTTTTTTAAGCTTTGGTCATTAAGCTGGTGGCTTTTAAAACTTAATGATTTTGTTACATAATTCGTAGTAATAAGCACGTGCATATGTGAAGCATTTGAAAATATTTGAAAGTAGTAGAAGCGTAATTTTTGAACGCACGGGATGATGCACATACATTTATAACATTTCCACCTACTATAGAAAAATAGAAACATATATCAGTGTATAAAGACCCGGAGTTTAAAGGAAACTCAGACTATGTTAAATAAAAAGTTGCTAAGGAATGTAGGGCATTATGAATGCATTCAACTCTGTTAAAGAGTTATTTCCATCAGAAACTATATGAACTTTTATAACTTATTATACATGTAGATTTGCATAACTGAAGAATTGAAATGGTTGCAGAAACGAGGAACTGGTTTTATGGAGTTGGAGAATATATATATATATATCACTATATATTTTCTTAAAATTTCTAGTTAGTAGTATAATTTTATAGTTTAAGTCAGTATATGTTTTAATATTTTAGTTCTTGATTTGACTTACTGTTTAAACCTTTTTAAATTTTGGCTATAAAATACGTTATTTACTGATTGAAAATAACCATAAATCCCCAACGTAGCTTACAAAAGTCAACCTAACAGAAATAGTTTTTTCAGGTTTGCATAATGAATCCATAACACAGGGAGCTATAGGAGAACAAATATGGTATGAAAAATAAACGATAAACAGGGTTTTGATGTACTTGACTTGCCGACTGAGGATGTAGGAAGACTGTTTCCATCCTCCTTATAAACATATGACTAAATGTAACTGAAAGATTACAGTAGTTTAGTCAAGAAACAGAACACAATAAGATACTTCAACCGAATTATTCATCCTCGTAAATTATGGGCTTGTATTAAAAGTTAATCTTCAATGCTTTATTTTAGTTTATTAGCGCATTTTCCATTACTCTATTGGCTTAGAAACAAGCGTGTTGCTTGATAAATCCTGGAAAGTTGCCATGGTGATAGACCATACCACGCAAGGCTCTACAGGTAGTAAAAGTCACGTGGGCACATAATTATACTGTCACACGCAGCGAAGCAACAGTGACACTGTCTGACGACTTGAAATAAGTTTAGTGGTTTTGGTATTAACTGAAAGTAGATTTAGAAAGATAGGTTTAATTAATTTGTTTCTTTGTTTTGGGTAATATCATGGTATCAGTTGATAATGGACAGTCAAGAAATAGACATTCTGGAAGACTCTTTCCGTTACTACGCTGATAGGTAAGACTCATTATTTTGGAGCAGTGTTTCTAAGATGCTACATTCTGTCGTATTCTGAACCTTCAGGCTTCGTCTGTTGACTATGTTTACTGAATAGCAAGCTAATTCCCAATTATTACAGCATCCAATGAAAGAATTAATGCAAATATGGCATCAAGTAAGTTCTGTAACAACTGTAACAGATGAAAGCAGTAACATTTGCTTGCGTACATTTTTACTTGTCATTCTGTTAAAAGTAAGGGAACAAAACACAGAAACACAAACATCAATGTGTTATTAAAATGACCAAAATAAAAAATCTTCGTAACTTTTCTCTCACATAACTTTCTTTTTTTGTCATATAAAAACATACTAACTATTGTATGTATGTACTTTATGTAGATGTAAAGGCAAGAAATTAAACTCTGTAAGCCTCTAACTATTTTGGCTAAAATGTTTCCTGTAATGAAAGAAAACAAAGTATTCGCAAAACTTGTGTGGCTGCAGGCATTGTTCGCACAGATCATTCTTATATTTTAAATAACAACATTTTGTGTGGTACAGAATTTTCACAAAACCTGATTAAGTGCAGGCGTTCATTGTACATACTATGTTTTTTTTTTCCTTTCAACGATAACATTTTGTGTGGTATAGAGTATTTACGAAACCTGACTAACTGTTGGTGTTCGCAGACCACAGTTTTACCTTTCAAAAGATAACATTTTGTGTGGTACAGAGTATTCATAAAACCTGACTAAATGTAGGTGTTCATCGTATAGATTATACAGGGTGATCCACCTTTTGTCATTATTCGGGCTTAATGATTTCTTATTAACTTAAATATAATATATTTCATGTTTTTTACTTCTTATTAGATTCATAGTTTTATATATTTCTTTCATATCAAATAAACAATGTTTATATTCATCGAATGTAATTCTATTTTTAAAAACACATTTCTTTTCACCTTTAGACTTCTTACTGATCATATATTCTCTTTTTAAAGTATACATTTAAGATCTAAGCCCTACAAGTTCAATCATTATTTTCCATTAATCTCTTCTTTCATTTTACCCAAAACTTTTTATTTACTAACGGAATACCATAAGGATTGTCTATTTGATAGTCTGAAGTATCAAATAAATTAATGTTTTCATTATAAAGTTCGTCTGTCTTTATTTTATCTTGGTATAATTATTTTAAGTGATCATCATACTTTGATTTCATGAATTCATAGTGGGAAACATACATCAATGTTTTCGAAAGATGTAGAATGCTCATACCAACATAAATTGACTTATTGAATATTAATTTTGTTTTATTCATATGAATGACGGATAACTTTTCTGTAAATATTATTCTGTCCTTAAAGTTAGGTTTAGCCATTAATTCTTCAACGTAATTTACATCCGAACAAAATTTCATATCAACTCGTTTTCTAATGTTTTCCACAATCTTTTCAAATATTGAATTATTTATCAATTTACAAAAATCATTTTCAAAGTCGTTAGTAATTATAGTTCTCCTTTGTGTATTCAGATCAATATATTTTTTAAACCAATCAGATTGCTTGAACTCTAACACTTTGTGAATTTTACTTAGTTTTATTCCTAATGATAAATATTGTTTTCCAGATTTCTATAGTGAAACACGTAATTGTTTTTATTGTATAAAGTTGTCATTAATTTTATTTCTTTAGTCACGGAGTTCTTTTGGATATTCTATATCTACATCTAAAATATAATCTATTTCAGAATCATCACTTACTTTCATTACATCAATATTTGTATCACTCCATTTAAATCCACCATAGAGTAAATATTGACCCATTGCCCATTAATATTAGTATCTAGATAAGCTAAATAAATACTTTCTTTATTACGATCATAATCTTTCATGTATTTATTATTTGGTTTACTATATCTATTACAACGCTGCGATATACCTTCACGAATACCTTTCTCAATCATTAAGATCATATGATATTCCGTCAATAATTCTACTTTAGCATCAGTCATTTTTAACATTGTATTTAATGATAAACTAGGTGCTGTGTAATACCAAGCACGGTCTTACTTATCTGTTTTAAAACAAACGTCTCTGAAGTTCTCGAAAATAACTGCTAATAACAAAACATCAGTCTTTACATAAAAATCAGAATATTATCCCATGTTTTGTACATTAAACTCTCTCCATACATTTTGTGCATGTATGTAGTCTTAATGTGAAATATCAGATTCGTTCAGTATGCTGTAAAATGTTTCTCTTGGTGGCAATTGTGTTTTATTACATTTATCAAACGAATCCTTGTAATGATAAGGATAAAATCATTTTCTTTTATTATAACATCGAGCTTATCTTCTGTTAAATACTGTTTTGAGTTTTCGAACTATTCTTTTCAGAGATTATTTGAAAATATATCTAAACTACTAGCCATGAACTTAAACGAATCTAAGAATTTTAGTTGCAGTTTACCGATTTCTTTACTAAATAAAATACATTTTTCTTCGTTGTTTGGAATTTGATCAATTTCTTTTTTAAACCTAATTCTTTGATAAACAGATGACTATCATATCCATTTATATTATGAATAAATATTGGGATGAATGAAGGATTTCTATATAACAGATTACAGCTATTATGAACCGGTCATCTATATATTTTCCGTTAAATGATCATGGTCGGGATCTTTCTTTCCAACATCTATTTGGTTTATCACAGATATGACAAATATCATTATTTCTAAATTCTTGTTGTTGTTGTTCAGTTAAATCATCCATTTTCTTAATATCATTATACTTTTTCTATTTCTTTAACTTCTTTTTCTTAGGCATTTCCATGAATTTAGTTTATGAATTTGGCCCTCAATAAACTATAGGATCTTCATAATGTTCATGTACGTACTTGCTATAATAACAAAAACTCATAGGTTCATGTTTTTGATCAACACTTGTATAATTCCAAGAGTGATCTGGATAACAGGCATCAATCTTTCTATTTAAGCATTCAAAATCAACATATATCACACAAGGAACTCTTAATGAATTATTCATTTTTAAAAATTTTGTAACTCAGTCTTTAAAAGGCATTTCAATTTTAACAGCTTCGTGTGTTTTACAATCTTCTTCATGTTTCTTCATTCTTCATTCTGAATAAGAATACTGCATACGTCTATCACACGAATATATTTTTGATTTATGTTTTGTTATTTGACTTTTAATTAATCGAGAAAAATGTTTGATATGATAATAACGCGCATTGGTTAATTGTTTGTTTGTTTTTTGAATTTTCGTGCAAAGCAACACGAGGGATATCTGCGTTAGCCGTCCTTAATTTAGCAGTGAAAGACTAGAGGGAAGGCAGTTAGTCATCACCACC